TGCTCACGGTTGCAGGCGCAGGGCTGCAGCTGCAGCACGGCCCGGCAGAAGGGAACACACTCGCCCTCCAGACACTCGCCGCTGTCCAGACACGCCGTCTCATCGGCGGCGTTCTCCGGAGGAGGACACTCACTGCTGTTTCCTGTCAAGCACAACGCCTCCGGTCACTGCGCGGGGCCGCCGTGCAGCGTGGGCTCATGTGCGACCTTTGACCTGCGGGCTGACCTGTGCAGTACGAGTGTCCTTTGCAGGTGGCGTCGATGGGCTCCTGGCAGACCTCCCCTTCGGCGGCGAACACGCAGTTTTTGCAGCACGCGCTGTTCCTGTCGCTAAAAACACAGAGAGCCCGCAGGTGAACTTTGACCTCTGTAGCAGAACAGCAGAACAAGCCCTGCAGCCGACCCGGCGTCTCCGACCTGCACTGAGCTCCGGCGGTCAGCCGGCAGTCGCCGGTGCAGCAGCGGTCCAGGTGGATGTGCAGCAGCCCCGGGTCGCACTCCTCGCCCTGCTCCACCCGAGAGTTACCGCACACGTTGGTGTTCCTCCGCCTGAAGCAGGACGGGGCCTTGGCCCTCAGGCGCTTCACGATGGAGCGCTTGCTGCAGTTAGAGAACATCTGGACAGCGGAGGAGGCGGTCAGTAAAAACACGTGAACCCCAGAGAAGCGAGATGAACCCGCGGAGGCCACCTTGTTGTGGACGTGGTCCCCGCTCACCGCGATGGGGTACATGACGTACTTCCCCCCCTGGTCCTCGCTCGGGGCGCAGTACGGGATGTCCTCGGGGTCGTGCTCCGCCCCGAAGTTGTGGCCGAGCTCGTGAGTGGTCACCAGGTCCGCCTCCTGGGGAGGAGAAACACAAAGACCTCCACATGTCCTCATTCCTTCTATGCTTCCGCTTGAGGGCCGTGGAGATGTGAACGTCTCATGCAGGAGGGAGTCCTCAGCCCACCTTGGTGAGGATGGTCTTGCCGTAGTTCTTGGTGCTGGTCAGGCCCGTGTTCAGGTAGGTGTCTCTCTGGCCGTTAGCGGACGAAGGACAGGCTTCAGGGAGACGAGACAAAGACAAGAGACACACATGAGTGACTGCCTCACAGCGCCGATGGAGCAGGAGGAGCTGAGGGGGCTTCACCTCTGGAGCAGAGGCCTCCGGGGATGTCGGGTTTGGAGGGGGCCACGTAGGCCAGACCCAGAGTGCCCTCGTCAAAGTCCTGGTAGGTGAAGAGGTGAGCCAGGCAGACGTTGGACGCTTTCTCCGCAATGTCCACGCTGAACTGCTGCAGAGCGGACGTTAAGCTCAACTACGTTACCCACAATGCAGCGCTGCCTCTCGCTGTGGCGCGGCGTGTTCGTTAGCAGTGAGTTGTGAGTGACAGGTGAGTACCTCCAGCAGCTTCTTCACGTCCCAGACCCCTCGGCCCTCCGCCGGGCTTCCCCCCATGTTGAAGTGGCTTCCTCCCGGGCCGACGGGAGTCGGGTTCTTCTCGATGATGATCTGAGTGGAGACACAAGAAGTTCACACCCGACCCGCCGCCTGCCTCCCGCCCCCCCTCTCACCTGCTGGATCTGAACGCCGTAGCCGGAGAAGTCCTCGTCCCACGAGGTGTTCCTGTAGATGTCGTCCACGCGGTCGATCAGCTCGATCTGCGGACACAGTCGATTGAAACGTCTGTCCTCTGGGCGAGAAGCACCAACAGGAAGTCTTCTGCTGGGGGCGACTGACCAGGTAGTTGAGGGTGGTGCTCTCCTCCCCGCGGCCCATGTGCTCAAAGAAACGGTGGTCGGCCACCAGCAGCAGAGGACAGGTGTTCTTCTGGGGGTCGGGCAGCTGGCGCCTCCCTCGGGACGCTGTGGCTGAGGAAGACCAACCAAACGCGCTTATACCTCCTGTATACCTACTGTATATATATAATATACATATATAATATACATATATATATTTATATACAGATATTTATACACACACGGTATATATGTTTATATAAAAAACAGATTCATTTTCACATTAAAGGATCCCAAAGGTGAGTCAGCGTGTGAAGCAGCTCCATAAAATGCACAGAAATGTGTCGTCTTCTTCTTCCGCCGACTGACCTTCTTCTTCTTCTTCTTCTTCCTCCAGGTCCTCCGGCGCAGTGACCTCAGCGTCGTTGGGGGGTCGGTGGCGGGGGCCAGAGGTCACGTAGCCGCAGACCGAGGGCCGCTGCAGGCGGCCGAGGCTCTTGATGTCCTCTGAGCGGTAGACCAGCAAACGACCATCTGGGGGGGCCGACGTGAACCTCCACAGAGGCTGAGCACACATCACAGCAGGTGGTCCTCACCTCCATCACCACCGTCTCTCAGCTCATCAAATATGCAGTGTGTCAAAACCAAGACGTGTCGTGTGACGTGTCGTGTCGTGTGACATGTTGTGTGACGTGTCGTGTGACGTGTTGTGTGACGTGTCGTGTGACATGTGACGTGTGACATGTGACGTGTCGTGTGACGTGTTGTGTGTCGTGTGACGTGTTGTGTGTCGTGTGACGTGTTGTGTAACGTGTCGTGTGACATGTGACGTGTGACATGTGACGTGACGTGTCGTGTGACGTGTCGTGTGACGTGTCGTGTGACGTGTCGTGTGACGTGTCGTGTGACATGTGACGTGTGACGTGTGACGTGTGACGTGTGGTGTGACATGTGACGTGTGACGTGTGGTGTGACGTGTCGTGTGACGTGTCGTGTCGTGTGACGTGTTGTGTGACGTGTCGTGTGACATGTGACGTGTGACATGTGACGTGTCGTGTGACGTGTTGTGTGTCGTGTGACGTGTCGTGTGACGTGTTGTGTCGTGTGACGTGTTGTGACGTGTGACGTGACGTGTGACGTGTCGTGTCGTGTGACGTGTTGTGTTACGTGTCGTGTGACATGTGACGTGTGACATGTGACGTGTCGTGTGACGTGTTGTGTGTCGTGTGACGTGTCGTGTGACGTGTCGTGTGACATGTGACGTGTGTCGTGTGACGTGTGGTGTGACGTGTGGTGTGACGTGTGACGTGTGACGTGTGGTGTGACGTGTCGTGTGACGTGTCGTGTGACGTGTTGTGTGACGTGTGACATGTGACGTGTCGTGTGACGTGTCGTGTGACGTGTCGTGTGACGTGTCGTGTCGTGTGACGTGACGTGTTGTGTGACGTGTTGTGTCGTGTGACGTGACGTGTGATGTGTGACGTGTTGTGGACGTGTCTCACCTCGACGTTGTACTCGCGCCTCGTCAGTGAGGATGTGAGCAGAGAACTCGTGGTCGTCGATGTGAGCCTGAACTCTAGAGTTTACCTCCCCTAAGCAGTAAACAGATGGATGAATGAGTGAGTGGATAAAAGGTGAGTGAATGAGTGAGTCTCTCTCACCGATGACGTGTCCCGTGAAGTATTTGTGTCTGTTGACCGTGACGTTTCTCTCTCGTCCGTCCTCCACCATCACGACCCTGAAGTCCTCTGTGAACAGCTGGTCGTTGGTCCTCAGGTAGAGTCTGAAGTGCCTACACACGCACACACGCACACACACACACACACACGCACGCACGCACGCACGCACGCACGCACGCACGCACGCACGCACGCACGCACGCACACACACACACACACACACAGAGCTGCCATCAGGGCGCACTTGGCTCAGTCAGACCTGTGCGAGGCGTGACCTCTGACCTCTGCAGGGCGCTGAAGCTGAGCAGCTTCTCTAGGTGAGTTTGGGTCTGGACGTCGCGGCGGCGGACGGAGTGAGTCTGCAGGCCGGAGAGCGGCAGCACGTCGAAAGCGTCCAGCATCGACCTGAGAGACGCCGCTGAGGGAAAAGAGTGCTGTCTTTTAATTATTATTATTTGTATTTATTATTATTCACTCTAACTTGCCAACCCAAATTATTGTTGGAACACTTTGTTTAAAAGTGTCTAATAAATTAAATCAAATAGAATTCAATTAAAATTCTGAAGTTGAGGTTTCAAAAATTGGATTTTTTAAAAAGTTTTTACGTATTTCATAAAATACTTATTGTGTCAAAATTCTGATTCCGACTCAAAAATGAACATTTTGACTGTAAATTTGATCATTGTGATTTAAAAAGTCAATTTGGATTTTGTAAATCACGTAAAGAGATTTACAAAAATAAAAAATAAATCAAATACTTGATATTTAATCGCAACACTGATTTATAATCTTGTTATTGTGACTCGGGAAGTTTAAATTGCGATCTACTTAATCCCGCTGAGACGTTACAAAATATGATGAATATAACTCTTATTTTTATTATGGACTTTATTCATGTTGTAACAGAGCTTTACTCTTTACTCCTTTACGGAAATGAGCTTCCACACGCGTTCATTTAGGTGACGTCAAGCTTGTTTATATAACGACATATTAGACCAGATTATTATATCAACTTTAATGATTAATCATTTGAATAACTTACTGTAATGTTGCTCTTCTTTATCTGCAACCGGAGAAACGACCGGTTCCGTTAAAACGGTAAAAACGGTGATAAAAAGGACTTCCGGTCTCATTTCGATGTTTCATTCGTCGCTGCTTGTTTCACTTTGAAAGTCTGATTAAACTATAAACGACAGATTCTATTAAAATCCTTTTATAACCTAAACACATTTCCGGTGTAATCTCGTCCGGTTGAACTATTTTGCTCTTTAAAACCGATAAAAAAAACAAAAATCATCTCTCCGAAAAAAACAGGAAGATAAATAGAGTGAAGCTAGCTAACATGGGCGGAAGTAGCTACCGCCACCTTCACAATAAAGGACTGACGTAAGCGGCTACGATACCTGGGAATACAAATAATAAAGTTAAATACAGATTGATTTAATATATTTATGTTTCATGGTCATTTTGTAATATGATCATTAAATAAATAAAACATTTTGAATAAATATGAAGAAAATACGTTGCCTTGGACTATTAATACACATTTGTAGAAATAAAATATGTAAAAGATTGTATTTGTTTAAATATTTTTATATTCC